AAAAAAAACAATAAAATAACATTCTTGCTATCGTACAGGCCGATTAACATTTCCGGTTGAATATCCAACTTGTTTTTGCACTAAACGTTGCATCTGTTCAGTTGATTGCATAACCGGTTGTTCTTTTAACCTCGTAGCTTTATTTGGTTCATCAATATTGACATATTGCACAACGCCGGCAGCATCAATAAACTTTTTATCTATAGTTGGTGGTTCTTCATAAGTTAAACTTTCAGGTTCTGAACGAATTAGCGCTGGTTTTTGACTTCTGGTATCATATGGTTGCAAAATTGGTCTCTCCAAACTAGGTAGGGGTTTACTTCGTATAAGATAAAAACTTATTGAAAGCGACAGTGCAAGCAAACAGATACCGTAATAGACAACTGGTGGTGCTGCAATACGACAATATATGTTGCGCATATTCAAAGTTTATCAAATAGTTTTTTGATGAGACTGTCAAAAGTCTAAATTTCAGTTACTAAAGAGGTTTCACAAACATCTGTCAAGTTTGTGTGCTTTATTTTATTGAAAATTCTGAGCTTATTTTTTTTCACTTTTTTAATGTAACAGATAAGTAAAAAAAAATGTTTTCACACAAAAATTTTTATTAGTCGTTTGATGTACATTTCTGTCTATAATAATTGCCCAAAAAAACGACAAAATGTTCAGACTGTTTAGATTTTTAATCGAAGAAACAAAAATTAACACTTATACTGTGATCGTCTGCAAACTCAACATTGATTTCAACTGCTATATTAAGTGCTATCAAATAGTCGTCTAATTAGATTCTGTTCTGAGACAGTTTAATCGCAGTTTTTAATCTAAAGCATATTTGGCAATTATCTTTACAAACCATCGTTTTGTATTCTAAAACGTTCATGTTTTTTATACCTATTGACTATTGTTTTGTTTTTGCTTAATACAACTGAAAAAAATTTATTGTTTTCTTGATTTGCAAAATGATGTTAGATATAAAAGTTCAAAATTTGTTTAATAAATACCGTATGGAGACTTTTTTCTGCTTTTTACTGTTTCTGCTCTAACCTGAAATTGGTAATCATTCTTTTTTCACTGCAGGCTTCAATAGATTGTCAAACTGTACTGATGCATCATAGCAATTTACAAATTTTATCTGAACAGCAACAAAAATCAAATTTATCACTCTGACCTTATGACTGTAATAAGAATTTAAAAAAACGTAATTTTTAATTGAAATTGTTCAAGCTCAAATGGAAGACTATTTGATATAAGCAACATTATCAGCTTTTAGTTTTCCTTTAAAATCAAATTAAGTAATTGAGTTAGAATGATTTTATAAAAGTGAATACTACCAGTTCACCTCTATTGCCTGAACAACGTCTTCAGATTTACAGACGACATCAGTCAATGGCAGTCTCTCGCCAAGGCATGGATGATAATCAAATGTATCTGTAAACAACGATATATGTATGATAAATGCTCAAAAACTAGACTTTATTATAGCCTAATAGTAAAAGCAACATTTGAAGATTACATTAGCAAACTGTTGTATAGTTATTTCGCTAAAAACAGTGTTGAAAAATAATTAGAGCTTTTTACACCTGTATTTTTAAAAGCTGATCAATAATCTGAGACTTTATCAGCTAATAAATAAATTTTTTTGGCAAGAGTTTGATTCAAAGATTATAGTTCAAGAATGGGCTAATAATATAAACAATATTTCAAACAAGAAATGAGTAAATAAGTCGATGAAAAGACGAAATAAAAGAGATCTTTGACAAGTTGAAAACAGAAAAAACTGCTTACCGAGCATTAAAAACCCATCAACAAACAAAAGTTTCTTCTGGTAGCAGTAACCTTCTCTGATCACATAACCAGACTCTTCTAACTTTGAATTTAGATAGTTTGCATTCTGCTGTCCAAATAACATCAATCGACCATGTTCTCTGAAGATACCAAGTGGAAAACGAATCATACCCTTTCCTTTCTTTAAACTTTCTGTAAATACATAAAAGTTGTTTGAAAAAAAAGCAGTTTTTTTTGCACATCTGAACATCTAAATAACTGTCTCAAAAGCTATGTTAAAGTTGTAAGAGAAAAAATATTTGCCTATTCAACAAATAATTTTCGCAGTTTTCAGCTTTCAGATACTTTGAAAATCTTCAAAGACAAATTTTCAGAATTTAAATTTAAAACTACACCTATTAACAGCTATTATTAGTTTAAAAATCACTGCATGAATGCGAGAAATTGTGAAAGAGTAAAAACTATAAACAACAGAACATAGGCAACGATTTTATATCAATATAGTTAGTTTTTTCTGTATTAACAGTTTATCATTATTACTTTTGATAAACGCTTCTTCAGCTTCTGAAGAAAATGCTGCTATATAACCGTTACGCTCTCGACAATATTGTTCAGCGTGAATCCGAGAAGTTACCTGCAAAAAAAAGAAGAGAAAATCTTGAATTTAAAAAAAAGGTTAATTATTTGTAAAGCTGAGTTACATATTTTTTCTTATCTTTGTTGCTTTTAAAAAATTAAACAAAAATAAAACTAAAAAGAGAAAGACAAGTCAAAATGTGATATAAAAAAGAGGAAGAGAATTACTAATTGATCTTACAGAAGCGAAAATATAGCAAAATTCCTTATTGTATAAAGGATCATAAGCTCTTTGACCGTTCTTTCCACATGCGCCACGAGGAACTGTTAGTAAAAGTGTAA